AGGAGCTCCGCTTTGCGAATGCCTCTGAGTTGCGGTGTTCATCAGCCCAAAAATGTACACTTTCAGTATTATAAGGAGTCATAGTCTCCCAAAAAATACAAAGTGTGCTCATTCAGCTACTAAGGCCTAAGAAGGCATTGATCTGCTTCACGAGGTCCGCCTGCCAGGGCCGCCGGACATGGCCAGCAGACTTTTCGGGAACGCCACAGGCACTGCAATTGCTGCTCTAAGGGGGTCCGAACAACAATAACAATATTCATAATAATGATACTGGCTGCTTTGTGTTGATACCAGGGATAGAAAAGCCCCGTTCTGAGTCGTGCCTGCCGGTTGGACAAGATCAAAGCTCCATCAAGAGCACAGACGCGAGACACCAAACTCGTACCTGCACTGCATGCTCGCATATGGCCACGGAACCGATTGAACACGCAAGTAGCAATAGCAAAACTAAAGTAATAGTAGTAATAATAATAGTAACATAAGAGTACTGATGATAGTAACAAGATTAAAAAATGTACCAACATAGTAGTAATCTAGTACTAATTAATAAGAACAGCTCTACACGACTTGCATGCATAGCCTGGTGCATTGGTTATCTTACTCGGCTCTCCAAAAACTGTTTCGCAGAGGCTCCTAAACCCTAAACCCTGAGCTGTCCATCCTGCTCCCTTGCGCCCGTGAACACTCCGCACCTGAGAGGTCGACGTAGGAATCGTCGTGGGCCATGCTCCTGGCTGGACGGACCCCCCAATCTCAGGTTGGGGTTTAATGTTTAGGGTCTGGGATCCGTTCTTCAGCTGCCATCTGTGCCACGTAGAGTTAATGCAACGGCCAAACTTTTAAGCCCTACACCCCAAACCCTGCCTCAATTCAGCTCCCCTAACAGGAGCAGTAAAAGAGACCCTGAAAAGAAACCATGAAAGGAACAAGATGGGGGACTAGGCCTAGGCCAAGGAGGGGGGCTGTGATGCTATGATGTCTGGGTCTCCTTCGCCAGATTCTGGCGCTGTCCACATTCTCGTCGAAGGTCTCTCCCATGAAAGGCTCGGAAAGGAGAATGGCTGAAAATGCAATCTGCATGCCAAGGTTCACTGCGATGAGGAGCGACGCTGCGAAGGCGTCCACCCAGCCCACATCGGCCAATCCAATCACGAGTGGAATGTTCCATGCACTTGCCTCGAAGTGCACAGGAGTAGTTTTCTTCTTCTTCTTGTGGTTATTAGGCTTCTTCACAGGCGGGTCAGGGCCTGCAAGCATCTCCTTGGATTGAAACGCCTGCTCCGTCTGCGAAACCGCTGCTTGGGAACAATCCGACTTTGTCTCATGAGCACTGTCCGGGGACCTAAGCGTCGAAGTAACCAAGGCGAAGAAAGCATAAACTTGTGTTTCATAACGGTTCCGTTACGGAGCTCCCGAAAAAGAACATTACCGTATGGTAGTCCAGAACCCAGTAACTCAAGGACATCTTCCTCATCTGGAGGCTCGGTGGACAGCTGCTCTTCGAGGGCTTCTACGCGCCGGCTGAGGCGTCGGATCTCCGCGAGGAGTTCTCGGGGATCCACCTCTGGGCGATTGTGGTTGCCTGTCGGGACGTCGATGGCCACACTCTTCATCCAGTTTTCTGGAAGCTCTTGGATCTCTGGGTTGGAAGTCTCCCTGACCAGGACCGCGTTGGAAGGCGTCGGCATGCCGACCCGAAGGGCAGTGATTACTCAGTGATGGACGAGATGCATGCGTGATGCTTGCATTAAAATCATGCTTGTGGACCACAAGTTTCGTAGCAATATTGCATGTCGTTCCACATGCTGGACTGGAGCCCATAACGAAAAATGAATAGACAAACATGGCACAGTTGCTTTTCATGCACTCGTGTGGCATGCAATGTGTGTAACAACACCATTCAACAAGCGACACGGACATTTGCATGAAGAACGACCGAAACTTTCAGTGTCAAAAGCAAGTTTTGAAAACAAGATGTTGATGATGTGATGATGGCGATCATGGTGATGGCGATGACGATGCTGATGATGATGCTGATGATGATGATGATAACAATACAAAATGTTAACGATACTGCTACTGTTACTGATACTGATATTGATATTGATACTGACAATGGTAGTGATAATGGCAGTGATATTGATAATGATATTAAAAAACGGCAATGATAATGATAATGATAATGATGATGATGATGATTCAATGACGATGATCATAAACCCTGACCCCCTTGAGAAATTGCTCTGACCGTCATGATGATGACCTCAGAGATGATTTTGACAAATGCTGTTGGCGATGGCGGCGGCGGTGGCCGGCACGGGGAAGGGCGTGCTTCACTGCTTGCACGGCACAAAAACTAATTTACAAGTTGTACCTTGGAGGCTCAAAGCTTCTTTCGCCCAGAGGGCTTAAAAGAGAGTTACAGCTCGGTAAAATGCACAAAGTGTAAAACGATTGTTCTTCGTTTTGTGCCGCACAGCCCGATGTTGCACAGTGCAATGAAACCTCCAAAATGGAGCGCCGAAGGATTCAATCCCCCAGCATATATTCTCACGGGCTGTTTTGAACAGACCTTATGAGTATGGTGTTGACCGGACGACCGGACCGTGACCAGGCCCCTCCCGGTCGCCCCGTCACCCGTTCGGAAGGAAAACCTGACCGAACGCTGACGTGACTGGGAAAAAGGGTCGACCGGACTGACCTGACCAGGAAAATGGGAAGGACCTGACCGGGCGACCGGACTGACCTGACCGGGAAAACGGAAGGATGGACCTGACCGGGCGACCGGACTGACCTGACCGGGAAAACGGAAGGATGGACCTGACCGGGCGACCGGACTGACTTGACCGGAAAAACGGATGACCTGACGGGGAAATGGAATGATAGACCCGGTCGGGCCACCGCATGGACCTGACCGGGTAAGCGGACGGATGGACCTGACCGGGCTACCGGGCTGAGCTGACGGGAAAACGGAACGACCGACCTGAGCGGGCCACGGGACTGACCTGAAATGATAGACCTGACCGGGCGACAGCATTGACCTGACCGGGGAAACGAAATGACATCTTGACCGGGCGATTGCAGCGACCTGGCCATGCGACCGTGACGAGCGTGCTTCTCGTGGTTGCGCTTGTCGAGCTCGTGCTGCACTACGGCGGCAGCATGCTGGATGTGTGCAGATGAGTCATGTGTTGGTAGGGTTGATGTTTCGATCCTCGTGTTTCTACCATTCTGTCTCAGTTCGAGCCAAAGAGATCATGACAGCTTGGGCAGCCAGGAGCATGCACCTCGACGACACACATACACTTCTAGCAATAGAAGCAGCGATATCTTTGACAACGCGTCCCCCGCCTTCATCACGAACCAAGTGTTTCAGCCTGGTCTGCTATGCTACCGGTTACAAGGCCGAAAGCCCAAGAGCCAAGCAGTTGAGACACGGAAAGAAGATTTTAGCGATTCACCGGACACATTCCTTGCGTCACATGTTTGCGGAGAACCTGCCAGTTTGAGTGCGACAAAACCGACAAATCGGAACTCCGAAGATGCTGTGCTTGGCCCTGTCAAACTCAAGCTGGGAGGATGACTCCACTTCCGGATGTCGTTGATGAATATGTTGATCGACTCCAGATTGGAAGGCAAAGCACACGCCGCAAACTGGGCATGCAACCTTAACATCTGTCTCAGCAGGCCTGATCAATCCGGTGTCACCTGTCTATACCTGTCTCCTTCTCAGTCTCAATGATGTGCATGAGCTGCTGCCCAAGATACTCAGCACGCTTCTGCTTCCAGTGCGTTTCGGTAAGGATGATTATGTCATATTGTTCCGTGGCTTCCCTTGTGTCACACCAGGCCATGAGTTCTTGCATGAGTCCTGAAGAGAGACCTCCGGCGTTCCAAGCAAGAATCCTGAAGTGAAATTCCGGCCTGAATGATCTCGGTCCAGCGTCCCGATTTCGCCTGGGTGGATGCAGAGCACTGTTGGGAAAGGGTTTTCTCATTGCATCAAGGGTGGCACGAGTGTGCCATCGTCCTTTGTACCAGGTGCCAGCCTGGATGGACTGGTTTGCTCGTTTGCGTGCTCTGTTGAAGGCTGTCTTGACATGTCGTGACGGTAATGGCTGTTCCCTGCCTTGATGCGCGACCCTGAAATCTGGGAAGCGGGGCATCTGAGGGAGGCCGATGTTGATATGAGACGGGTAA